AAATCAAATCCGATGACCCCTTTAATCGTCCAATAAACATATGACACAATTTTTAAAGGGGTAATGAACTGCCTTTTTAAAAATTATTTGGTACTGTTCTCCTAGGGTCACTTATAATGTTATCAAGATTTTTACATCAAAAAACATAATTTAGAAGTAATAGGCTCTTTTCTGTCCTGTTTTGACCTCCCGCATCAGAACGCTCTGTTTGAATAGCCGTGGCAGATTGTAGACTCAGAAGTAAACGCCCACTGCTATGATTGGCTAACATGGTATGATTGGCTAACATTGGTATGTTTGACAGCCTACATCCTTCACAGATGGATGCTGCTGTAATTTAGGTTAAAAACGCATATATACTACATATCAAATGATCTGTAATAACAGACAAAGCAATAGTGACTCACACTTGTTGCGACATTACTGTCGGATCAAATATAGTCGACACATCATCGTCTTTTAGTTTCAATCTTTCTGAAAATCCTGCGTTGAATTGTGCTTTGTTTGTAAATGAATCTGCGGTGAAATGAAGTGAACAAAGGACAAAGTGGGCGGGGTTAAACAGGCAGTGATGTAAAGAAGGTGTTGATCTTCTTCTGCAGAGGCAGTGCTTATTCACACTATTACATCATAGAGTTGTACGTTCCACAAGCTGTCATTTTGGCAGATTGGCTGCAATATAAGCTGTTTTTATAGACCAACAAGAAAGTTTTAAGCTCTGAATCTTACAGGATTTTTTATATTACAATGACCTCTTATTATGTCAAAAGATCAAGAGAATTTAGATTTTGCAGTTCATGACCCCTTTAACTTTTAACACACTTAGCCAAGCTCATACACCGAAACATATGAGAACACCACCCTCCCCGGGTGAGTGTAGCATGTTATTAACTAATACAATAACTACAAATATTCTGTGAAAGTCGGCAACAATTGACTTAAATAGTAAAATATGTAAAATAGTAGATAAATAAGTAAATATAAAATTTCACAATGAATTAGCCTATATCAGAAGTTATGCTAACAGTCGAGCATGTAAGGTGAATGTGTTGTATTTCATTATTTGCGGGGTCTGCTGTGGACCAGTAACATTGTTTAAAACCCAGCTCAAAACCCAGCTCTGACAGAAAATAGTAAAAAAAAAAAAAAAAAAAGTTTTTTACTGTTTTCAGCACCTATTTATATAGTGCTCTCAATCCCCCCCCATCAAACACATACATACACAAAAAGAAAAAGCTCACTGCTTTTGACTGAATAACTTTTTTTAATAAGGATTTAATAAGGATTAATATACATATTTCAGTTATACAGTACATGCAGTGTTATACATGTTTTACATTTGTTTACTTTTTCAACTTCTGTATCTGAAAGCTACTGTTAAACCTATAAAAGCATTACTTAATTTGTATTTTTGTTCTATTGTATATATTTGTTTGTGCTAGAAAAATTCCTTAGCTTTGAGCCATTTATATTTTGTCACACTACACTTTACTCTTTTTCTGAACTAGCAAAATGTATACTTGATATATAAAGAACAGTACTGCAATTACTTGTTAATGAGTTTATTAAAGAAACATTTAATGTTATATAATATGTCAAAAAATTACAAAGTTAATGTTGTTAATAAGAAATATTTGAATGCAATACATTTGCAATAATAGGTTGCCATATTGTCTTATTTGCATTTTCTTATCTTGTGTTTGTCTTATAATGTTGACCTGTTGAACGTTAAATGGATCCAATGTTCAATGATAATGATTTGATGATGCAGCAAAAAAAGCTAGTATACCTTACTACATGTGTTTAAACTTTGCTAATTTAAAACATGATCAAAACGGTAATCTATTTTAATGACAAAAGTTCAAATAAGTGAGCAAATGCAAGTGACAACTATTTGTATCGGTGTGACGACCCTGAGTCTCCTGATCCTATTGGAGCAGAGCGTGGAGGATTTTGATTGGTTGTCAACCTGTTAATTGATCATTAGTTTGAGTATTTAAGAGTGTTCTCTGTTATTTGGGGTAGGCACTCCCGGTGGGACAGTTCTCTCAGGAGTCTCTTTCTGACTCTTTTCTTGTTTGTTTCTTTTGGCATTTCTTATATTATGTAGTTAAAGTTTTGTTGTTGTTATATTAATTTAATTATTTTCATTAATACCCCTAGACTTCTGTTTAATGTCATTATTAATTGTTGTTGTAATAGTTTAATTTAATAAAACAATTTGCTTTGATTAGACTTTGTTGTCTGATCCCTCTTTTACGTTGCACCCTTAAACGAGCGGGTCGTAGCAAGAAATTGGGCGCTCGTCTCGGATTGCTACATATAAAAGAAATGCATAGTGTTTCTGTGGTCTCTTTCTGACTCTTTTCTTGTTTGTTTCTTTTGGCATTTCTTATATTATGTAGTTAAAGTTTTGTTGTTGTTATATTAATTTAATTATTTTCATTAATACCCCTAGACTTCTGTTTAATGTCATTATTAATTGTTGTTGTAATAGTTTAATGTAATAAAACAATTTGCTTTGATTAGACTTTGTTGTCTGATCCCTCTTTTATGTTGCAACCTTAAACGAGCGGGTCGTAACAATCGGCCAATAGTGATTCGTTAAAATCGGAATCGGTATCAGCCACTTAAAACGGGATATGTTTATTGCCGTAAGTATCGTTAAACCTTGATAGAAGGTAATCAACTGACTTAACAGGAGGATATTTATCTGATCCATCGCAGCATGAAATGATGGCCTCATCATCAGGTTGTACAAAGAAGGCCAAAGACTGACGTGTGCTGGAGTCACCTGCAGGGGGCAGCAAAACCCTATGAACCTGAGGGTCAGAACAATAGAAAAGAATTAAATGAGCATTGCCTGCACTGCACAATTAAATGAAGCATTAGTAAAGAAACTTACGGCAGACACATAGACATCACTGGTCCACCTTTGCATCAGGTCTGCTATGTTAATCAGAACTGTTCCAGGAATGCTGGGGGCTGAAATGAACTCTCCAGCCCGGTTCAGAACCTGAAGGAGAAGAATGCATCCAGATCCAGAATTACTATCCTAAATGATAAAGGAGCACATGAATCTTTTCTCCTCTTGTCCTATGTTGGTGCTCACCTGCAGTCCACCCTCTGAGCTTTGGAAGACCAACGTGATACTACCATAATCAGAGTGCTCACCACAGCGCAGCTGATTTTCCTTCACACATGTGCTGTTCACCGGAGGGTAGTACAGAGTCCGTAGAGTCGTTCCATTCACATCACCTTAAAACCATCCACATCATTAAGGTCTTGCAGATCTCCCTTCCATTGACTCCTTGGCAGAAAGAAGTACTGTAATGCATATCATTTTACTTACTTCCAATATGCTTATGTGCGCTGAGA